CCCACGGCACTCGGCTAGTGATGCCAGGCGCACGGCCCAGAAGCCGCACAAAGACTTGTTTGGTGGTGTAACGACGCGGGGGGGGGGGGGGGTGTCAAAGAAAGAGAAAGGAACGACAATCAAGTTCTGTTACAGAGGGTGCGGCCACAGCATAGACTCGGCGTCAGGCCCGGGCTGTGGAATTAATCTTTTGAGGGCGCGCGTTGGGCCCGGAACGATGGAACGGCTTCTAGAAGGTACGCGATGGGCCCAGCGGCGGACAGAGGTTCAATTCCCGGAGGGACGTAGCAGGTACAGAGGCTGGGTGGGAGGGAGGCGGGCAGACAAGACGTCGGGCCCGGTTTGCTCACTCCTGACCGGTAGGCCCGGCAGGCGGCGAGGCTGGTTACCTGAGGATACTGTGCGCCTCCATACTCCGGTTCTGGTTACTCGAACACACCACCGCCACTCGCAGCGGATTCTGGGGCATCTCCTCCTCGCGCCGTCGCCAAAAGAAAGGAAAATAAAACGACCGGAAGCGGCAACCGCGCGACCGGAGCCCGGTCAGACACAAAATGGCGGCGCACTACCACCTACTTCCGGCGGGAATAATCCAAGTGCGCACTTCCGATAACGGAAATGACCTCATCTGAGGATCATACCCCTATCCATTTTGAGTGTGGCGTCCAGTTGAAGCGCCAACGGGGCAATTACAAAACTGGCATTCTTAATCGTGCCTTTTTTTGAGGAGATTCTAAATCCTCAAGTTTTTTTTAAATCGTGCCGTTTTTAAGCTAAAAATGTGTCTAAGCGTTTTAAAATCAGTTCACTATGTTTGAGGAGCGGTCATTGTAGGGGGATATGGCAATTAATTACCGCACAGCAAGCTCTCACAGACAGCAATGAGATAATGATTAGATAATCTGTTTTCACTACATTGATAGGGCTTTCTTGGGGTACAGGGGTAGAGTCTGTCCGTGCAGACTAGGAGGTTTGGGTTCAAGTTCCCATTAGCTCCAGAGGTGTGTAATAAGAAAAGTAGCTTAAGGACGCTGATAGAGAGTTGGGTATTGGGTAGTCAACAGAGAAAAAATTCCTGCTGCACTTTGTATTCGTGTAGTGGGCTGTTTTACATCTGTCAGAGAATGTCGTATTTAAAAAACAGCCTATATTTTTTGTTTTGTGCCTGGAGCAGAACGTCTAAAACAGACTCAAAAGTAGCTACCAACTGAACCACAGCCAACACAGCTCCTGAGCTAACATTTCTGTTATATAAATAAATTTAATTTATACAATTCTAATCCAACTTGTTATTTACAAAATAATTGGATTTGTTCCCAAGGAGCTGATTTTGGAATGTTATTTTAAAGTACCTACTATACTACCTGCTGGTATATATCTTTTATTAATTATTGTCACTATGATGTTTAGGTTTACTAGTGCTATAATACATGTGTTACGACATTTAGATGTTTGTAACCCATGTCATCCTGTTGGTGACAGTTGGCCAGAAACTGAATTGGATTAGCCATATAAGTACTGTGGCTATAAGAACAGTTCAAAGACTGAGAATTCTGCAGTCAGTAACTTGTAAAAACGTAGAAATTAGGAGCACAAGTAGGCCTCAAACCTGTTCCACCATTTGATACGGTGATGGCTGTTATGTTTGTGGCCTACTCCTTGTTAGTCAAAAATCCATCTACCTTTGTCTTAAATATATGTATTGATTCGCCTCTTTGTTCCCCAAAGCCTGTCCACCATCTACAACGTACAAATCAGAAATGTGATGGAATACTCCCCACTTGCCTGGATGTGTACACCTCCAGAAACACTCAAGAAGCTTGACACCATCCAGGCCAAAGCAGCTTGCTTGATTGGCATACCATCCACCAATTTTTGTCACACCAACTATAGGATGTGGGCGTTTCTGGCCAGTGTTTAATTGTCAAATTTTCCTTTGAAAGACAGTGCTGGTAAGCTGCTTTCTTGAGCACCTGCAGTCCTGTACAGGCACCCACAATGCTGTTAGGAAAACAATTCCACGATCGTAGCCAAGCAAAAGTGAATAAATGGTAATAATGTTCCATAGAATGGTGTGTGATTTGGGGGAAACTTTGTTGGCGTTCCCACGCATCCATGATTTACTCACCACAAAATTCCTAGCTTTGGCCTACTGTAGGTCAATTAATACAACTTGAGAGTTCAGTTTCTGTATAATGGTAATGCCCAGGATGTTGATTACAAATAATTCAGTAGAAGTAATGCATTTAAATGTCAAGGGGCAATGGTTAGATCCACTTTTGATGGAGATGATCACTGCCTGTCACTTGTGTGGTGAGAATATGACTTGCCACTTAGCTGACATCTGGATGTTGCCAAGTTTTGCTGCATACAGACATGGATAGATTTATGGATGGCTTTAGTATCTAAGGAGTCATAAATGGGGCTAAGCTTTGTGTCATCATCTGTGAACATGCCCATTTCTGATCTTATGATAGAGGAAAGACCATTGGTGAAGCAGCAGAAAATAGTTGGGCCTTGGACTACCCTGAGGATCTCCTGCAGAGATATTGTGGGACTGAGATGATAGACGTCCACAATCGCAACCATCTTCCATGTGATAAAACAATGAACTAAGGATGTTGGAAATCTGAGACAAAACAGAAATTGCTGCAGCAATTCAGAAGAAGGGTCACTGGACTCAAAATGTTAAATCTGCTTTCTCTCCCCAGATGCTGCTGAGTTTCACTAAGGATTTCTGTTTTATTTTCATCTTCCTTGTAATTCCAAACAAATCAGGTCTTCCAGCTGATTCCCATTGTCTCCAGTTTTAGTAGGACGTTTGATGCTATACTTGGTGGAACGGTGACTAAATGTAAGGACAGTCACTCTCTCCTCACATCTGGAGTTCAGCTGTTTTGTCTGGATTTGGATCAAGGCTGTAATGAAGTCAAGGGGCCAAGTCGTTCCAGGTGCCCCTCACTCCCAGAG